TGCACTATATTGTCTATTGAAGTCAACTTTCCATCCCCATTTGTTGTGCCTGGTACAAAAAATACGTCAAATTACAATTTAGTAAGTTTTAAAGCCAAACAAACACAGGTAATTTAAGCCAACGACAGAAGGTGCTGATGTATATTATTTTTGACGACTTTTCCAACATTTTAACCCAGTGAAATTGAAAGTACAACTTGTTGTAAAGTCTAGCATCTGTTATTTCACATCAACTATCCCAACAAATTCCAAGAGTAGAAAAATAATTATGACACACTTTGAGAGTGTCTCACCAAACCATGTTCTATGTGAACCAAATTGGCTACAAGATGTCCATATAGATGGATTCCATAAAGAGCCACAACAGGAACTAGCCACTATAGTTTGTTAAAAAAAACGAAGGCGGTTGTGGGTTAACTGCGACCGATGAATAAGGCTTGTATTCATTATCATCATCATTTATCATTATCATTTGAGATGGGGACGCCACCTATGTGCGTATTTTAACCCAAACATGAGTCAAGACTGCCATCGTTATTTGAACAAACTATAGTATATTATAGTGATTTGAGCACTCCAGACTCTTAAAAGGCCTGGGTTCACATTTGGTCGATCACCTGACTAAATCATCAACCACCACTTAAAAATAACAGATCTCACAATAATTTGTCCTATTCGTTTGTTCTGACTAACGTGCAAGTTTTAAAAGAAGCGTTTAAATTATGAACCGTCATATGTTCGAAATGTGTGCACCATTATGAATAATTATTATATAGTAAGGAAATTAGATATCATGTTATAATCAATCACCTGGCTTTGTATCAGAAAATGTTCGATTTATACCAAGCCTTCAAACTAGGGTACGTGTAATAAGGCAAAGATGAGTGAAGTATGAACGAGAACAACTTGATACTATATAAAATTAGCAGGTTCTCTACCCAGTACAAATTTTTAAGCCCAATGATCAAGAACACCTGTGTATATTTCTGAACCAAGAAACATCTGATTTTTCTCACGATCGAACCAGCGACCTTCACACTACCTCTACCCAGCTACGACGCGTTGCACCGATCTCCATACAAATGACCACCAAACCTATATCTTCAGCACAGCACAGTAGTCGAGAGTGGGCAGTCTGACTCATGTTTGTGTTTATTGTAGATAAAACATGTTTATAACCTCTGAGTCACATAGTGCGTCACCGCAACAAATGCTCCTGGTTGGAACAGCTGATTCCGATCGGTATCAACCGATGACAACCGTTTACGAAAATTGCTTTACAGCATCGTGGGAGTTGGGAATGATAGGGATGGATATACATGACGTTTGTGTTATCCTTTGTGGATGGATAAAAATAACCACTAACTAGATTGACTATGATTAGTGCAAGTGGTGCAAGTGCTTCTCATTCTATGGTACTGTAAATCTTTTAACCTTGTTTTATGTTTCGTGATGGGAAAGTTAGGAGTGCGCTAGTGTTGAATTTACCGGAGTGTCGTCTGGGTACCTGAGTGGTTGCATGCATAATAATCAAGAAGGTCACCGGTTCGATCCTGAGAAAAGTCAGTAGCTTTTTGATAGTTCAAAACTGGGCCCAGCTATCCTTCAATAAATTATCCTGGCTGAGGAAACAGCTGATCGTCAGCAACAAAGCTACACAGATAATCTCACACCGTTCTACACTCATCAGTCATATTCGGGTTGAAATAAGCACCTAGGTGGCGTCTCCATCTCAATTGATAATGGTTAATAGTGAAGATTTTTCCCTCACTTGTTTTAAATCCATAGGATAAGTTATCGTTAGAATTAAAGGATTTTATCTGGTTGATATATTTATAAAGTGAGTTTTAATTTACAAGAATCAATCAGTAAAACTTCTCGAATGAACCGGAATGAACTAACATGAAAATAGGTAGTGTGCTTAATTGGTTCAACTTAGGATTATTATTATAATTTATAGTCAAATATACAAACATGATTTGAATTGTAATTCGGAAATAATTGTTTTGAATTCTTACATGTATTTAATTTTCATCAGTAAGGAAAAATGAAAATGGAATCCTGGAGATTTTTGGAATGTCTAAATATTTTGCAGAATTATATGTTATCGATTTGGTGGTCTGGTTGTAAGGCGGCGGCGGCAGACAGAGAATCGTAAAGCTTTGGCGGCGCCGTCCCCACCCTTGTCTTGCTGCCCCCGCCGCCTCCATCCACCCCCGGTGGTTGCCCCCAGGCGAAGGTCGCCGAGGGGTTAGTCACCTCCCTTACTTCGTCTTTACGACTTTCAACCTGATTTAACGATGTTTAAGTTAGGTTAGGCGAGATGAGGGATGTTAAAAGTATTAAGTATTTGTTAGGTTTGAGTAATTTGAAAATAATGGTGTTTTTGCATAAAAAAATATTTTAAGGTTTGAGTATGTTAAAATGGGTATATAATATTGTTTGGATATGGGTGTAATTTTTTAAAGTAATATTTGCATGTTTTGAGAAATATTAAGCAATTTAATGAATTGTCTATAAAATTCATTAATAATGTTTGAAATTGATTTTATGACATTGGAGTAAGGTAGGAGGTGGGGGGACCCACTAAGGAGATTTGTCCGAAAGATCAATCCAAAAATGTATTTAGATAATTAACAAAAATAAATTGTTAAATTTTACATCATTTACTAGACAATAAATAATAATGCAGCATTAGAACGCAAAAGTCCGAGTACAGTTACCTGTTTGGGGAAAAACATAATCTTTATATCTTTGCTAGCTAATATACAGTACAATGCAGTTTTCTCCTAGATTGATTTCGTAGTAAACTTTTTCTCCCTGATATGTATTGTTTTTTTTTTTTGCTTTTAGCATTATTTTAACCACAAAAATAATCAAAAGTTAATATTAATGTATGTGTATATTATTCCTATGTTTCCTTGTGTATTTATTGTACGAAATAATTTTGCTGTAAATAAATAAAATAAAATTACTAGAGTGGCAATCTAACCTTAACCTAATTTGTATATAATTGAAAAAAACTATGAAAGAATCAAGAATCATGACAATCAAAAGTGAATTTAAAATATTTTCTGAATACATAAACACTAATTAAAATATGTCTTTTGTAGAATATGATAGTATATAAATTATGTTTTAAACGTTTTTCTACACCATAAACTGAATTACTAGTTTAAATTTTGATGTTTAACAACTTAAAATAGTTGGATAGGACCATCATGAAGGTAGGATGAAAGATAGTATAACCATAGATGAAGTAATATATTACTTCATAACCATAACTATTTGTTTTTTTGCAACTAATTCTGCAATAAACGGTATGCAAAGTTTATTAAGAAATATCACTAATTTTAGAGTTGCATGATGATATTTGTGTATCGATAAGATTCAAACCCATCTTAATCGTTCTTATTTCTGCATCATGTACATCCTCGTGCATACAGCATGTTACATAAACATATACAACATATGTAACCATGTCTATCGTTCGTCAAAAATTGTGTTTTCGAGCATATTACTTGCATCGTAAGATCTACAATAAAATGGTTAATCTAAATGTTTTGTTCACTAATTGAGACAATTTCTAATCCCTGGAAATTGCTATACTGTAGTTCACAAAGATTTTGAAAGATATTTATATTTAGTCTATAATATAGTTTTTACATAGGCTTATATTTTGATTTTTATCTAGATTTGAGAGCAGGATGGTTGAGTGATGTTAGAGCTCGCCTGGTAATCAGAAGGTCGCGGGTTTGATCCTGAAAAAGCTAGATAATTCGAAAACATGACCAAGCTGACTTTGATTGTCAAACTTGATTGTCATGGCTTAGGAAACAGTCTATCGTATTTAAAGCTTCATTAAACACGCATATTCAGCTTAAACCACGTACCGCAGTCATAAAGAAGTGTTTAATTGATTATAATTTCTGTGGTACGGATACTTTATAATCTTCTAGATTCGTATATCCTTGAATTTATTCTTTTCACTCATTTTATAAATTTCCTCTCTTAATGGTGAACTGCACCATTACCATAATTTAGATGTTTATTATACTAAAATGGGGCTGGCCATAAAGGAAAAGATAAATCACATAAGCAAAACTTTTTCTTCATAAAAAAAAACAAACGTTTGTGGTGCCCCACAAAAAAAAGAAAACTTAATCGTCAGTTGAAAGTTAAAGAGTTATTTAAAAATAAGATAGTTCATGGTCTTCTTAGGTTCTGCTTTATTAGTTGAAGAGTGTTGAATGCGTCGTTGACTCAGATGGTAGTGCGATGGTCTAACCCATTGAAACCAAAGCAGCAATGTCTTGGGTTCGCACCCCGGTGCCACTATTAACAATTTATCAGAGCAGCTATACTTTTTTTGTACCGGATCACCCCTTGATTTACCTGGTATATTGTTCTCCTATAAGGTCCATTTGGATAAGCTAATGCAGGGTTAAATAATGCCACCAACCTTATTTGATTAAAAACCAATTGTTTATGTAGTTGTTTGATACCTAGTATTTTAGATTTCTCAGGAAATCCACATGCAAGGATTTGTGAAATTTCTCTCAATATGCTATATCCTTAAAAGTCCCGTTCGTCAATACGAAAAATGCAACTCACTTTTATGGATGTCGTTTAAAAGGCTTACTCTTAACTCTTTTTTTGGCGAACATAAAAAGTGGCTGAGTTAGACAGTTCTAAAACAGCCTTTGTAGGTTCTAAGCCCAATGGAAGACTCTAAACTAATTTGTTGGACTTTAAATAATACTCATTTAAACTAAAAGAGACAACAATGAAATCAAGCAGGCATATGTCCTTCAGCGTAAAAGTTAGTGTTGTTCACAACAATTTCAATAATTTAATTCAGCACGAGGCTATTATTTACTGGTAAAATAAGTGAACTATAAGGATAACTGGGGATGCTGTTGGTTTAATAACAAGTTTAATCGGGAAGTTAAGTCAAGAAGAAAATTAAGAATGTTTATTTATAGGTTATGTCTGCGGCGATGCTGGTTGCCATGACAACCAGACGCAGTGCCTTATCGATCGGTGGTCGCTTAGCAACTAACGGTCCAACAGCTGGAAAATCAGCTGACGAGCTGAATACAGTGATCAGTGCTTGGACTATAAGCATCTAGAATACGACATTGGCCGATGTATAGGTTAGTGTAGTGGAAATTTCAATTGCTATAAATATATGTGTTTACATAATTAAAACTTTATAGTTTGTATTACAAATTTATTTGTCAACAACCATTAACTATCTTAGCCAATTATTACTTAGTTCTTATAGTTGCATCACAGTGTGAAAAGGGAATGAAAGTTTGTGCAATTTCCTTTAAATCCCCCTAATTATATTAAAGTTAAAGATATTATAACATAGCTTATATTGTAATGTTATATGAGCTGTGATAGAAAACCCCCCACTCAATACTTAAATTAAGTTATGTCTATTTGAGTACTATAAGACTAGAAACCATTGACTAAACATTACTAAAATACCTAAAAACTTTATTGTTAAAACTAACTTAAGAGCAAAAAAAATTTTCTGTGCCTTTGTTCTAAGAAATGCATTTATTCAATTGAGAATTTGTACTGCATTAGCTAATCAACTTGAAATTAATCTTACAATTAACAATGATGAGGTGTTTTGATATTTATATTTTGCAATGTTGGCTATAATATTTTATGTTTGACTAATGTAGCCAATGGGTTAGGCCTACTATATTTCACTAAACTAAAACAAAATGTATTTCACCGTACCTTGGAGTAGGCCTACATAATATGTAAAATTCACTTTGGACTACAAATAAACAAAATTTCAGCTTCTTCCAAATTTATGCATCAACTATCTTTTAATAGAATCTGAAAAAACATATAACAATACATATTTATGGAAATAATTGTACATGCTTAATTATTGCAAAGAGCTAGCAGTCTCCCTAACATAAAGTCATCTCAAAGTACCTAGCCTACCTTTAATTTAAGCTTTATCTCGTTTTTCAGGATTTAAACTGAAATGAATTCATAAAATTACCATATACATTTTTATTTAAGTTTAAGATTACCGGTAGCTTAAGAAAGTAAGCTAAACAAATGTAATTCAGATCTTTCCTTATTACATTGCGATTATGACAAATATCCCAAAAATGAACACAGAATAAATATTTATCAATTCGGAACTCCGTTCCTCCACAAATCGAGCACTGATGCATTATACCAAATCCATTTTTAATACTAGAATATGCTATATCCTTCTTAAATTTACTTTCATAGTGCTTGAATTCACTAAGATATTTGAACAAGTTTATCCCTACACAAAAACTTTGTAAAAAGTTATCAACCAAAAATAACAAATAAAAGTACCATAATTTGATAAGAACTGATACACATTTGTGTTGTTATTGTGTCATTCTTTATTATTGTAATGTTGATTTTTACCATAAATAAGAAAATATAAGAGATTTATAAAATAATTTTTTGGACAAATAGAATAATAACATACTTTTTCAGCTTACAGTCTTTTGGTTTTGAGTAGTCGATGAATTACTAGTTTTGGGTCAAATGACCCTTTTGCAAATCCAATATATTATTACAGTACGCTTATACTGTTACTCACAAGATGGTAAATATACATAAAAGATGGTAAGTGCTGATCGATTTCATTCGCCTATTGGGTCTAATGATGATTGGAGTGTCCAATCGAAATTTATCACCACTTAACATCTTTTATATATTTACCATCTTGTGAGTAACAGTATAAGCGTAAATATATGTTTTAAGTGTTATAAGACGTTTCTTTTATTTACTTTCCATAAATTTATTAACACCTACAGCAGTGACAAATTATTACCTCAGCGGCACATAGGCACATCTAAACTTGCCCCCCCCCCCCCAAAAAAAAAAAAAAAAAAAAAAACACACACAAATTAATACCAAATAGGTACGGTAGGAACTTACAATTAAAAACTCGGTTAGTGGGTTTTTACACTTTTGTATGAATGACCTTTCATTAAAATGTTATGAATAATTTGATATTTCCTTACAAAGGAAATTTTCTTGCTTTTCATGTAGAAAACTCTGATATCATATTTTTTTGTCTGTGGCCCCTAGGCAGTTGCATAATGGGTTATCCTCCACTGATGTACACTGCTGATCAAGAAGTTATTTAACATTATATTGAAGAGCATGAGACCTTGGATTGTCTTTTGAATCCATTGACTCCTCAATAGAGCTAGGATGGAATTGGAACGCTAACCTCTATCCATATACATATACAATTCGCATTCCGTAGTCCTGTACTATTTGTTAGAGTATACAAAAATGTATGTTGATCAGCCCATTTGGATTAATAGTTTTTTTGTGCCAATTCAGAAATGGCCTCAAAGCGAAGAAAACAGTCTACAAGTGCCAAGAGTAACTCCTCCTTCTCTACTATGGAAACCAAGGGGAAATCAACACCAAATGAAGAAAGTTTTTCCTCCAGGTTTGAATCAACTTTGGGATTTAGGTTGGAAGACCTTTCCTCTTTTGATGGGTTTTGTCGACTGATGCACCGTCCCTGTGATCCCAGCTGTTTAGCTGTCATTAGGATTTTATTCGGTGAGTCACACTTAAATTGAGAAAATATTGTATGGTTTTAGATCTATAAATATATATTTCTATTTTGTGTTAGCTGAAACCCAGAGAAGATTTGATCTTGGCTCTTTCACCTTCCTGGGGTGAAATCACTGACGGAGACAGTGAGATATATACATATTGTAATTTATATGTGTTGTGTTTATCACACAGGAGGAACTCTTTCTCATTCAAATAAGCCTCATATTCTTTAAAAATCATAATATTGGTAATGGATTTATCTGGGCTTGGGTGTAATTAATTGTATTATTGGCACCAATATTGTGACGAGGGGCCCCATTCTTCCCTTGTCTAGGGACATTTCACTCAATGTGAGGGAAATTTATGATTTTGGCAATACAACAAATTTGTGTGAACCTCGAAGCCTGAGTGTATCCCATCAGTCCAGTAGAAGTTTGTGACAACAGGAGAGCGGGTGTTACCGACAGAACGGTGTACCGTTCCATGGACCTACAACGGGCTCAAAGGTTTGTGATAAGCGAGCGTAGGAATTATCCCGTATAAATTTGTCATAAGAGGGCCCACAAGGAGAGGCGCAGAAGGGTTATTTTAACCCAGATAATTTTTAACATGCCACTCTCTTTATAATATGGATGCTCATTATAAAAACACCAAGACCAATTCAACCTCTACATCTAGAGTGGGTGAGTCTGATCTAAAGATTGATGTAGCAGGATTGAACTTGTTTGGTTGATGCAGGTTTGCTGATGATGGTGGATGTGATGGAAGAGAGAGGTTTGTCAGAGGCAGACCTCAAGTGGGGTGATCCTCACAGTTGTCACTTCCCTCTGCTCAACTTTCTGAGACCTCTACCTCTAGAGTGGATGTGTCTGCTCTACCTTATCATGTGGCTGGGTTAGTAATGCAAACAATAAATCGGCACTGACAGAAAGAGTAGAGGCTGCAAAAACAGTCCTTTATATCACTTACTGTTGGTTTTCCTAGGCAGAGCAAAAAATTGTAACTGTCAAGTGACAAAGGTAGTACTTGTCATTCTTCCTTAAGGTTGTGATGGTATCTAAAGCTGAACGAATTTGTGTTTAGCGTGTCTTATTAATAATGAATTCTGTTCATCTAGTAATCTACACATTGCACTATAATGCTTTTTGTCCACATATTCATGATGACATATGCAAGGTAGTTTTTAATTTTCAAATATCTAAGGAACTTATCAGTGAAATCAGTGATATCACAGTTCAACTTAAAACATTTGCTCTTCTCAGCAGGGTCCTTTATCTGACATTTTCGAAGAAAAAACTGTAAATTCTATGAACTATTAAATCTGATTTGCCACTCTGCTTTAGTGGTTCAAAATTCTTGTTTTGACAGGAAAGTTGTAGTAAATGGACGAGTGACTGCCCATGTAATTCACTCTTTTTTGCAACCCACGATTGTAAAATCAAGCGTGTTTGAATTTTCTTGCTACTATCAAAAACTTAGGCCCCTATAGTATTGGTAAGTCTGCAAAAAGTGGAACTAGCAAGTTGCAATCATAAATTTGCCATCTCATAGTATACTTTCCCTGTTAGTTGCTTAATTCATCTGTAGGTAAGAGTTACACAGGTGGGTATCCGATAAACATTTACACATTCATAGTTCAAATGTCTTTTCAATTACGGTACTTTTTACCATAATTAAAAATATAAATTAAGTATAGCTTAAACTTTAATACTTTCTTATTAAATATTTACCACCATCAATTTAAAATCCCAAAGTAATCTTTTGGACTAACTTCTTAATGGGTACTGTTGGAGTCAACAGTAGAGTAGGCAAAAGTATTGCTTCAAAATCTTTCACATAATCTTGAAAAATACTTTTTAAAAGTAAACAATCAATAGTGTTACTTCAAAAATTCCCCATTTTACTCCAACCTTTTCACAGGTGCTGCTGGGGTAATGCTGGGAGCCTATTTTAGACTCAGCTGTCTCAGTTTCTGTCTACCCTACTGGTATCTCTTCCTTCTGGACAAGTCTGCCTGGAACAACCACTCCTACCTATATGGACTACTCTCAATAATGTTCCTCTTCTCCAGCTCTCACTACTGCTGGTAAGACTTTAGTTTGTTAAAATATTTGGGTATGAAAACTGTGCTCTTTCGATACCATCTCTAAACGTTGTTGTCAAATCTTGGGCTTTGGGGATGACTATCGCTACCTACCTATTGAATTGGAGAAAATACTGATTGTGTTTCAAATGCATTGAGTTTCAATTTATTTTGTGTCATCCCAAAGATAAAGATTCAACAGTCTACTTGTTTAGTTTACTTGTGCTACCAAGTGTGCTGATGTATTACTGACTGATTCCCTTGGAATTATACGTACTCGTTTGTTAACCGAGCCGATAAGCTAGATAAGAAAAGTTAAAGGAGGAAATAGACTTTTCCTCAATATTACAATCTTTGAGTGGATCACACAACGTTTTAATTCTAATGAAAACATAGTTCATCTTAGATGGGATGTCTACTTCATCCAAATGTCAATGGTACATATATCCTGTGTTCAAATACGTCACCGTTTTTGTTGTTCATGAGCCAGCTATCTTCAAAATGGCTTTAAGGCTTTGTGACCATGAAATTTTTTACTTACAGGTCTATTGATAGTTTGAGAGGGAAGGCTCCAAGAAATGGGCATGTGCCACTGTGGAACTACGCAATTCTAAGGTTCCAAGTATTTGTTCTTTATTTCATTGCTGGACTAAAGAAACTGGACCAGGATTGGCTTAGTGGCTATTCCATGACTAACCTGGCTTCCCATTGGCTGTTTGACCCCTTTAGGTAAGTCAATTTGTCTTAAATGTAGGAGAATGTCCAAATCAGTTTTACTTCCACTATAGTTGAAAGTATACAAAAATATAGTTAATTGCAAACTTAAGTAAATTTGGCCGACCACCGATGTCAGTTGCAGACAAGACTGGCGCGGAAGAACGCAAAGTGCTGAGGCACAAGCCTTTCTTTAAATTTTGGAACAGACAGGAAAGCCTTGTTAATATTTGATGTGTTATTGAATGGGAGCTGCTGCTATATGGGATAAAACACGCACCATGCCACCTTTACACCATGCCATTCGCAGGATCTGGCAAATCCTCAAAAGAGCATTCAATTCGTATTTCCCTGTGTTGTAACGTTTTGTTACGTAGATTATTGTCATGTTCCGTCTAGAGTATAAGCTTCCATTTGATGACAGAAAGCATTCGTCAGAATCTTTCCTGTCTTTTGCGCACACATCCCAAAAGAAATATACTTTAATACTTTCTTATTAAATAGCGACCATACGAAGTAGGTATTTTAAACCAAGTATGAATGGAGATGAGTGGCGCGATCTTGTAGTTTTGTAGTAGCGAAAATTGCACTAAAGCCAGGCTTCATCCCTGCTGTACTTCCTTTGGTGTTCTTTTGATTTCTGTGTTCAGTCTGATTATTTTATTGTTGGTGTAAACCACACCTTAACTTAAAAGAGGTTGGTTGCCTCTTTTAAACTTGTGTTTGCCCATAGCCATGCGTCTAAACCTGTGCGGGGAATGTGTCGAAGCCAGGAGTGAGTCAATACACTATGAACAGTACTGACTCTAGTGACAGCACTGGGATTAGAACACACAAATTTGCAGCCCATCCCGCAAAGGACTACTTACTCAGCTTAGAGGCTTTAAGATACGAGGAATCAAGAGTATAAACAATTGTGACTCATTTATACGTACCACTGTGAGCAAGTTATGGCCCAACATGTGACACACTATATAGTTATATGTATATGGCAATATTGCTTACATATAAGTCTTCATTTAATTAAGTTACCGCATAGTATTCCAGCTACCAGTGTATGTCCACTATTTAGGTACCTAGGGCCCATGTTATACGCTCAGCTTTGTTGTGGCGCTGAAGCCATGATTAAACGCCCTGTCGATAAAATGCTGACGCTGATCATTAAAACTGAGCTGTTATACGAGCAGAAAAAACGCTGCGACATCGACAAATATGCTTGGTGATGGAGCTGTTATACGAGCAGCAAACACCGCGACAGGTACCGAGGGTGCCTGAAAGCTGTCAAATATGCCCTCCCGATCTGCAGATCAGCTGTCAGCTACAACATGGACGCAGTCGGTTTGTATCGATTTCCACCATTTTTTGGATTGGAACATATCTTGATGGCACCAGAAGGGAGAAGAGGCGCTGGTTGGGCTCATGCCCTGTTTTTAGTAGCCGGTTGTCTACTGGGACATTTCACATGTTATCATATGGCTTTGTCACCTCTGTCCAGTAGTTAACTTTTACTAACTTGTTGCAATAAAATACTCCTTCAACTAAAATTTGTAAAGTGCTGGACAGTTTTCAACCTCTAAAATAAACTTCTTGGTGTCAAATATGATTACCTATACAAGTAGAATGGGGTGTATAGAAACACTTTTTGACTTTTAAGCTTCTGTAAAAATAATATTTTTATTTTTTAAATTTTCAACACTAGCTCATATTTTCGGTCTTGGACTCCTCTACTCAAACCAGTTATCAATTTTTTTTCTTTTTAACCATTAAGCAGAAAAAAAATAAAATATGGCTGTTTCTATTCACCCTGCACTTTGGGGTGAATAGAAACACTGTGTTAAATTGATGATTGTTGCTTTTCCCCACTTACCAGGGGCAATAGAAACATGAAATTTATGCTTGTTAGCTTAGGTTGTTGTAAATAAAAATATATAAAGTTAATTAACACATTTATTTATAAGTACGAAGTATAAAAACATCGTTTTCATAAACCCTTATCCAAAGAAATCGGAAAACATAAATGACAATGGGTAAAATCAGAGTTACAAAATCTTACATAGAAACCAACTAAATGAAGAGTAAAATCAGACAGATCTTCCTCAAAATACAACATTCCCTTAAATCTACAAGTTGTACACGGCTTGGGAGTTGGAAGCCGACGTACTACGTCATCGACTCATCGAAGAGGGCCTCTTAATCTGTCCCTCAGAACTTGTTGGTTTGCGCAATTTTCTTGATGAATCTTCCTATTTATCCTTCCTCGGCAAATTCAATACTTTTGCAACATATAAACGATAGCAAGTTTTGTTTTTCCCCATTACTTTGACAATTACATGATCATGAAGGGACAACTTTGAAGACTCGCTGATGTCTTGAGCTAGGAGCTAGGTATGCTGGTTCTTCTTCATCAAATTGTTTGTCTTTGTCACTTTCTTCCAGTGAGAAGTGTGACTGATGTGGAATCATCTCCATCTCTGGTAATTTTTTTCTTTTTTGGGGGGTTTTCAGGTCCACCTTTATTTGCACCACTGGTTAAAAAAAAGTGTTTCTATTTACCCTGGTTTTGCAAAATCATGACATAACCTAAAATAAAAATAAAGTAAAAAAATATAGTTTATTCTAAGGCTAATCTATTAACACACTTGGTTTTAAGATACCTAAGACAATATAAAAAATGGTTATTAACATAAATACATGTAATAGGTTCATACTTAGAGAGAGAGTTTTGAAAAAAATGTTTTTCACCAAAATTTTCAAATGAGGTTTCGCATCATACAACATCCGAAGCAGTGATACCAATATGCTGAAATAATTTATCCCAGGTAGATAGGATATGGTCATAATGGGGAAAATAATTCACTTATATAAAGTCAATGTATAACAAAGTTATAAAAATGTGAATCATTCATTGAAGTTTTGTTTCTATTCACCCTGTTGTTTCTATTCACCCCATTCTACGGTACAACAATAAAACAGGAACCAGCAAACTCACTCTGAATGTGCAGGAGCAGTGTGTGGTGGGGGTGAAGTAGCAGATATGTTGTATCAAAGCTGCCTGTATAACAGCAACTGACAGTCTCCTGCTGCTATTTTTGTCATCCTATACTTGCTGCCAGTTTACTGGTTTGGATAAGTATTACTGTATTAATAGTCAAAGGTATTACGCTGAAAGTTGACTACAGGGTCCGACTGAACAGATTAAACTCCCTTAACTTGCACACAGGGAAGTCCATTGTCCGGTCGGCTTGAAGGTTTTTACCTTAAAAATAATCTGCTGCGACAAAGCTTCCCTTATAAGATGGGTCTGAGAAGGTTTAACTTTTGTTTTTATGACCTGGAACTGGATGTTAAATAGTTAGAATACCAACAATAACATGGGTACATTTATGTTTTTCAAATTTAAACTTATTTGTAAAGAAGTGTAATTTGATAAATTAATTGGCGTCTATTAAGATCTTCATGGGCATATCCTTTTCAATGTTTTCAGTATTTATACAGTACTACTATAGTTTTAGAGTATATATAAATATGTTCCTATCTACTAATATGTCTTTACTTTATACTTTATTTTTTGTTTCAGGTTAATTCTGACCCAACAACAAATTGACTACTGGATTGTCCATTTTTTTGGTTTTCTCCTGGATCTGAGCATTGGATTTTGGTTATACTTTGACAAAACAAGAGTTCCAGCATTGATTTGTCTAACTGCCTTCCATGTCATGAACTCTAGGATATTTACAATAGGTAACTAGCAAGAAACTATAGTAGAACTCATAACTAGTAGAACTCATAGTTTGGTCCTTGATAATAACCCCCGCCCCCTGTAATACTGCTTAAAGAAATAGTAGAGTAAAAATTTAAAAACGTACGTTTTCAGGAAAAGCACTTTGTAAATTTTTTCCCCTTTTTTCAAAACTTTTATTATTTTTTTTACTTCATTTACATTTGAAGTTTCATAAAATGTCCATTTTAACGCAATATCTTTGGTAGTTTTTTTTAAGAGCATCTTTAGTGGAAAAACACAAAATCCTGTCACGACCATAACGGACGTTTAAATGAGTATTAAAAATGATTGATATTATTTTTATAACTATGTTTTGCTATAAAATAATTTACTTTTATGACCATTATACAATAAAAAGGTCACTAAGCTTTTGGTATATTTGGTCTTTCCAGAAAAAAATAAAAAAAACTCAAAAAATTGAAAAAAGCCAATAAAATCTTTTAAAGTTTGTATAACTACGAAAAAACTTACCTGAGACCCGAAAAATCGTTATGTTTGTATAGAGGTGTGATTTTTTGTGTATAAAACATTGAAATATGACGATATTTTAATTTTTGAAATTGTTATGATAGAAATCATAAACGTGATGGTCAGGGACAAGCGGAACGGTCGTGAATTGTCTGGAATAATCTAAATCTTTCTAAACAATCCTTCAATTATACTGTTAGTTATAATAAAAATATGTGTTACAATTGAACTAAACTGTTCAATTTACAATTATATTAAAGTTATTGTCACGACCAAACACACTATAATCCATAAGGCTGGATTGGTCGTGAAAAAACCCGCGATGGTCGTGAAACTTTGGTCGTGAAATTACGTGTTATTTGGCTCTGTTCTGGCGGTAGCCCTGCACCTCATGTTCGAGGATACAAAGTGGACTTCTAGGTTAATCTAGCAATTGAAATATCTTATAAATAAAAATTAACACCATGTCTACTTCATCGAATGACTACGTACGGTCATGAACACACCAAAATTACAAAAAACACAATCTTTCCTTTATTAATCTTGTAATTCCTCCTTTCAACTCTAAACGACCGGCACTACAATTCTGACGTACACCCCCAACTAGTCTCTCAAACCAACTGACTCCATCGACGCCAGGCTTGCCACTGTCGTGCTCCAAAGTTGAAATTTTTTCCCAAATGGTCGTGACGCCAAATCGAGGGACAGACTTATTTTGTCATGGTAGTCAGTTTGCAATGACAATAAAATTATAATATGCTCCTTTTTTGTAAGTTTTTGATGACATAAAAATATGGCTTTATATATTTCGGCAAGAATAATTAGTCTAAAAACAGTGTGAAAGTTGGAAAATGTACCCTAGGGACACGTCATGGTCGTGAATTTCGAGACTTTAAAAATACGAAAAAATTACCTAGAATCTATTTAAAACCAAATAAATGTGTGTAACATGTTGCCCCCGTCCCAAAAAATATTAAAACACATAATAATAAACTACAAATCCAGTATCTACAAAGTAAATGGCCAGGGACATGAAAACATACGTTTTTTAATTTTCACTCAGTATGTAATCACTAACAAGACTACAAGATATCACCACTCATCCTATACTAATATTAGGGTTAAAATATGCACATAATGGCGTCCCCAACTTAAATAATTGATTGATTGATTGAATCTAATCTTATATTTATGTACAGGGCAAAATATAAAAATCTATAGTAGGTACTGTTTAGTATAAAATTATATGCATAACTGTACACTACCTAATTATGCAATAATTTTACAGTTGTAAGTAGTAATTTAATCATCAGATTCGGACTATGTTAGGTAGTGCGGGGCCCTTAATACTTAGTAGGTCAACATCTTGATTTTGTTCAGTGATCGCAATTTTTTATTTGACACAACAACGTAAAAATAGAACAAACGATGATTATTGGCAATTATTCATAAACATAATTTACCAAGATTTTTATTATTTTTTGTGATTTTCCTCAAAGCACAGGGCCCGCAACTTTGCTGCACCCCCCAAAGCAAAGGGGGGCTTTGGGGGGTGCAGCAAAGTTGCGGGCCCTGTTCAGCTGCACCTTTTGCACATGCCAAAAACCGGCTCTCATACAACACCAAACTACAATAATCAGAAATCAGAAAATCTTAATCAATACTGCAAGTAGAGGACAATCTGGGGATGAAACACGGAACTCACATATTCCGCACTTGTCTCTCAATAAAAAAATAAGAGAATCACTCCTAGACTGCAATTATTTATTGTTATCTTTGCCACAACTTTGTCATCACACCTACATCCCAGCACATAAAACTGCAGCACATTAAAGCGTTGCTGTTGCTGTTCTCTTTTTGCAGGAACTCTGACTGTCTCAAAATTCAGTAATGTTAACTCTAATTCACCGCACTATTTAATTGGTCTCTTAGATGGTCTGGTCTTTTCCTAAATTGGGTCTGAACACTGCCTGTTTAAGATTAAGATTAAGGTTAAGACCGTATTATCATTAATTGTTGCCTTATCAAGATGTATTAGTTTAGCTGACTTCAATATGCTTTGTATAAAACTTGCCTCACAAGTTTTAGTTTAACCTATCAATTAGTTGGTACACCATTTAAATTTTAGCTTTAAAGTGGTCTTATTTTAAACTAAAATATATGTTATTGTACACATTCAAACTTTTTAGAGTGGTTATGTGGGATTTCAAAAGCAACATAAAACCCCATGGGGTTAAAACCATATACAGTACGTATTCCTTGCTCGCTGAGTAGGTACAATATGCACTAAATAGTTGCAGGTAATGCTTCAAACCATTTTTTTTATCAATTTAATATTACATCTTAACTGTTAAAAGGAAGCATTTGTTTAAAGCTCACACAGTGGGATAGTTTTCAAGGTACAAAGTTGACTTTTTCGCAGTTTGTAAAGTAACACAAGCCCAGTGGGCTCACCGTATATATTATGGTTAACCACCCAATATCTGCACGTAAAAACAAGTTGGACAAATTAACTCTGCCTGCAATTCACATGCTGATTACCAGATTTTGAGGGACTAGATCGTAAACTATCCACCTGTACTTACAGTTACCTGCACCTATGGGACTGGGGCTAGTAGTATTAGTCTTCATAATATTAAAGGAATTATGGTTATAGTAGAGACAGTTGTATGCTATGTACAACACCCCAACAAGCCTGCTTTCTTTATAAGCTGGCAAATACCTAACTTTATCTGTGTAATCCACCCTTAAAACAATATAACTAACTAGGTTTTTTCTTTTACTTGTTATGTATTTTCAGGAATGTTTCCTTACGTGTGCCTTGCTACAATGCCTTTGTTTTGCCATATGGACTGGCCAAGAAAGTTATTGAGCCGTTTTCAAAAAGAGACCTTGCTTGAGGAGCCAGAAACAACAAATGTTTGTATTTATCCCTCAAAACATGGTGAGTTGTTCTTTTGTTTCGATAAAATACCATAGAGAGCAAATGAATACAAGCTTTTACTATTGATCAGGCCTGGACTGGCCAGGTCCGTGAACGCTAAGAGCTCACAGCCTGAGACGGCCCCACATAATATAAAGAAAAAGTTTTTTGTCTTGTTAGAAGTAATTTTTTGTGTTATTATTAGCAATGTTTGTTTCATTGTAAAAAGTAGTACACATCCAACAAATGTTTATATTTCTCCATATATACAAAAACAGGGCTGCTTTTATAAATGGGCCCGGTGAGCCCGGGCCCAGGGGCGCATGAGGTTTTAGGTTTTTTGCGGGCGCAAGGGAAAAAGATTTCTCCACACTGTAGGTGGAGAGGGGCACAAAATTATCTCTTGGGCCTATAGTGAATCACATGCAAACCACGAGCCTATACAAAAGCTTTTTATGAGCTACCTCGTCCTGAGTTCGTTCCGGTGTTGTGGTTTAATTTATCATCTGCGCACTAATGTGTTTACAGCAGACAACTCCACAGCAAATAGCAATGCAACTGTGGTGTGTCAGCATCGACATAATCTTGTCTGGTATAAACAAATATACTTTTTTTTTGTCGTTGGATGAAGAGGTTTTACATCCCGGCTATGCCTCATTCCACTCATTGAGCACTTAAAGAGTTTCCCCTTATAGTTGTGTGTGTTTATGTATACAAAATCATATTCATTTTGTTTATAACTAATAGTGTTGACTAAAAATATCCTATTTGTTGCAGAAACCAAAGATCGAGTGAAGGATGTCCGATGGTACCATAGACTGACATGTAGTATTTTGCTTCTGCATGTAGCTTTGCAAGCTTTCTTGCCTTATTCACATTTCCTGACAAAGGTACTATCGTTTTGAATCAGTATTATTCTACGAAAATTGAAATAGTTGAATATTTTAAATTTTATCATATGCAGCTTCTATGCTAGCAAATTTACCAATCATTTCATTAGATATTGTGTGAGTTTATTAGTGGTATTCAAACCTTTAAACCACTTTGTGTTCACATTTTACTCATATTTGAGTGAAAACCTATTGCTTACCACAGTTTACGTCAGCATTGGTGCAATCTAGTGTTAATCTGTTATGCGAGGAAATGTTCGAGTAAAAAAATTACCTGGCATAGCAGGATGGAGTTAGTTTATGTTAATTACTTTATGTTGCTACTATGGAGTTAGTTGATAGCTCCAACAAAATATTGCTGCGGTTGAAGACTAGAAACCCATATTATGGGTTCACAGTACTTGTCGTACAGTTCCAAATTGTACAACTGCTTGTTGGGTGTTTTGGCTCATAAATATTTTCAAACGTACGTTTGATTCTGCCACAAGGTGCTGTATTGACATAAGTCTTTGTAATTTACTACACTGCTAAAACTTTCTTGAGCTACACAAGTGGCTTGGGTGGCTCCATTAGGGGTAGCCGATTTTTATCCCCCTGGACAAACCCCTGGGGGGTGTTTATTTTTTAAGCCAGGAGGGTGCAAGCGCACCCCTTGCACCCCCTGTGGGTGCCCATGCCGGGGGTAAAAATACAGGGGTAAAAATCAGGGCCGTACATCCGTACATACTGTTGCTTAAACGTTAGTTATTAGGACAGGGGGTCAAATTCTGGTTTTTATTGCTTATCTAATTTATCACACTCTGTCTATATTTTCATTAGACTTCCAAATCCGCGGAGGTAACTACAATGTGACGCCAACTTTGCCCAGGGGGTGAAATTCCAGGGAGATAAAATTCCGGCGACCCCTGCATTATGACTGGCAAACACACATACGATGGTCTACAAAGGCCACTGTATGTAGGTGATGTGCTATATTTCAACTGGGAACTGGTGTGCTACTGCCCAGTAACACCACTGGCATATGTTGGCTCAAATATTAGTGGCATTTGTTCAAATGGTGTGCCATTTTACATCTCCAATAAAATCGGCACGCCTTTTAAAGCTACACTCTATTTTTGTGCCAATTGAAAGCCAGTAAAAGTATGACAATTCCTACATGCTAACGTAAACGTAAACCTATAGCATTCGTCCAAAGATTTTGAAAAGCTTATGCCTTCAACTTTTTGAGCTCAACAATAGTTAAACAATTCATTATGTTTGAGCAACATAAAAGTAGTAGAGCCAGAGTAGTAGAGTGGCAGAGAAGATGTTTGTATGATTTTCACATTTAAAAAAAAACTCAAGCTGAGTAGAATAGAATACTACAAGCTGTTCTTAGTTGAAGTTTGTATGATATTTGCTGTGCCATTCCATTTTGTTAAATAATCAAAGTAGCATTTACAACAAGGGTTATTTTCAACATTCGAATAGGAGATGAAAATATGCATCTGATTGCTTTCTTTATGTTATAGGGCTATAACAACTGGACCAACGGACTGTATGGATACTCGTGGGATATGATGGTCCACTCCTGGGATACCATCCTTGTGGTGGTGAAAGTAGTTGACAAGGATTCTGGACAAGAACATTTTCTTGACCCTCAGGTAAAGAAATCCTGCTTTTGATTGGAAAATTAATTTCGCACATACCGGTAGTCGTTTATGTTAAAAAATTTCTAATGAGCAAAGTTTTCGATCTCGCAAACAGTTTGGTAAAGCAGTTTCATTAAACTCTCAACTACATCCAGATTACGTATAGTCATATAAATCTTTCAGAGAAGAATTACTTTATGGTTTATTTAATTACTTACCAATTACAAGGGTTGTACTGAATGTTTAAGTCTCTTGCTAGTTCTACTTGCGGCCATGCAAGCCAAGTACAATCTGATACTAGCGCCATTTCCTTTCCTTCCCTACACAGCACTTAAATTCTAGCCGATTCCCACCCTTATGCGACAATTAGTTTTGTCTTAGTCAATATAAGCATATGAGGGAAAACCTACGCTCTGAGCATAAATTGGGTTCTGTAACTAGGTTTTTGTTGCAAAGAGGTCAAACTGTATTAAAATGTGCACATTATTTTACCTCCACTGCAACGACGGTGTCGGTTGAGGGGATTGTGGAAACTGTGTTGAAATAAACGTTTTCGAGTGGTTGAGGGAATTTGAAGAATGCGTACATGAAGTTTGGTGTCCATCAGTTTCAATCAAGACAGTGATTCGGGTTGAAATAATACCAGTGTAGCCCATATTAGCAGTAGTGCTCGATTTTGCAGGGGAACACGGCGGACAGGAGTACCTAATATCTTTCTTGTACCTAATATTGGCATAAGTAGGTACAAATCACATTAAATAAGTAAAAGTTCCGGCACCTCATATTTTACAAATCGAGCACTGCATATACAATTTTCTATTCAGTCACACTTTGATACGTATGCAACATTTCTCTAACTTTGGTAATTACTTTCTAAAACAAAACCGCAGCCAAAACATAGTAAACATTGTGCAAATGTGTACAATTATCCTGAACCTCTTTCACCTCATACTTGCATTTCTTTGTCCAAAAACCTTTCTCCATTCACAGCCGTGAACTGGCAATAGACAGTAATAGGGGTTGAACATTTAGACCATAGAAGTCTAATCATAGAACCCAATTCATACTTGACCAAAGCATTTATTTTCAGATTATTTACTCAGCTAACCCGACAAAACAACTTCAAATAAAGGTGAGGACTTAGAATAGTAGTGGGAAAGAAACAGCATTGATGTCAGCTTTGAATGAGGCTAACTTACCTGACGTAAATGTGGAATCAATTAATTAAGCTTCAAACTTTTCATGCATTTCAAACTTTGCATTTCATGTACTCTTATGTGACATTTAGTTGTGTTGTGCAGGCATGGACACATACAGATAGATACAGCAAACATGGTGACATGATGTATCAATACGCTCAATGTCTTAGGGACAACATACAACGAGAGCATCCGGTGAGTGCTACAGTTACTGTTACCAAGGGAGTTGGTGATAATTCTCAAAATTTGTTCAACACATATTAAGTAGTCTAGTTGATCCAAAACGCGTTCATTGTTGAGTTTAGTTTCATCAATAGAAACAAAGCTTGATTTCTAAAACACAATTAACATGTTCTGTAAAGTTTTAAACTTTGCAAAATAACTAAAAATTGTGCATCAGCTAAGGGAAGGAGATAGAAATCCCAAAAATTGCTACCTATTATTTCTTTCTTGTAAGCAGTGGATTAAAAATTAACAATTTAAAATCTCTAAATCAATGTGTTATAAATGACAAATCATGGCTAAATGCATGCATATATGGCTGTACATAGAAAGATTCATACTGACATACAACATTGCTGTACTTTATGAGTCTACTAAAGAGCATATCATAGTTGCTCATAGTTTACTGGGAATGGTTTGATGACTTTTACTTTGATAATTGGCTGACATAGAGTCTTTCATCATTGCAGTTTTTAATTCAAATCATGAGAAGTTTACCTGTTGATGTAGTACCTAATGATGGGTAGTAAACAGTTTGGTTTGGTAAGAATATTTATCCTTAATGTGAGTGTCCATCAAAAGTTTTTCAACCGATCAATGTTTTTTTCAGTCCTTGTAATAGAATTTTTCTACAACCACACACCATTGTGTGTATTTTAAAGCCAAGAGGAGTGAATGGCGAGAATTGCATGAATGATGACAAGCCTCCTCTGGTACAAGCTACAGCCAACAATGTTGTAGTACTAACTGTAAAGAAGCTCCATATGAGTGAATCCCGGTTCACCCGAGCGACACATCTAGCTGCTAGGCTGTGTCAAGGTCACAGGGGCGACTTAGCGGACCACAGGATCAAATGGAACCGTCACACGAGCGTACAGCAGCGGCGATCAAGGTTGTTGTCGGAAACTACTGCCAGGGTGCGCTTCCTAGCCGATTGTCATGACTGGCAGTGGCTGCTAGTCATTAGCTCTGTTGTGTAGAAGTAATGCAGCCATCTGAGAGCATTCACACGTGCGGTCGGTCTTCGTGCTGCAGCTTGCATAATGCCTTTATCGATGCTCATTCGTTTAAGTCACGTCTACGATGTAGTCGGTGGACTCATCTCTCATGCGGAAAATTCTAGTCACAGCCAGTCAGCTAGATGTGTTGCTTGTGTGAAATTGGCCTTAGCACTTCCATTGATGAAGTCTTAGTAATGGCGCACTCCTGTCTCAGAAGGCCGGACCTACTTTGCTATTCATTGCTGGCTGACACGGATGACAGCTTTGTTACTGACTAAGATCAGCTTGTTCTTTAGCCAGGATTATTCATTAAAAGTCTAACGATCAAGGTCAACTGGTACCAGATTTTAATTACTGAAAATTTACTGACTTATCAGGGTTCTTAACATTAAAAATTTGTATTGTGACTTTCTCAGGCTCATAAACTTACCAGTAACCTTCTGATGGTGGCGAGCACTGTTATAACAGGTTACATACCTTGACATCTACAATTCCTCAGTAGAACTAACATTGACTAGTTTCGACTACTAAGTAGTCATTTTAAAACGGAATGTTAAATTTAATTCATCGAATGTCCTCAATTTTGAGTAAAATCATCGACCAGTTTAGTGACAAGTGCCGGCCGGCCAACCATGTTAAATGTCTACCGTGTTATGTATGTGTGTTTACTATCTATACAGTAGTAGTTTATGCAACGATTGCGTAAAGATAGTGTTAACTGTTAACAACACGAGTAGAAAATTTAAGTTAATAAAAGAAAAGAAATTTAAGAAATTTAAGGTTATTTGCCTTGGCGAGTGTCGTTAACACTATTTATGCGAGTTGCGTACACTACTTTCCCTACGACAGTGTTTTGATTACAAAAAATCAAATCACTACTCATAACAAGAGAGGTTATATTTTCGTTTATAACCTCTCATTGCCACTGACAGTGATGCAACGAAACATTATACCAAAATATAATTGCACTAATCAACAATTAAATTGACCTGAACTAGTTGAATTAGTTGAAGTTCAAATCATTACATTATTACTGCTTCTCTCTCAATCCTTTAACCTCCATTGGTCCGTTACCCATGTTGTTATGTAAAACTATGCTGTAATGAGAAACTTTTTAATTCTATGAATTGAACTGGAATGGCTAAGTACTTTATAAAAAAACAGTCGTAGGTAAATTATTTAACAAAATTCTTAACATTTGACGAATGTCATTTAACGTTCCGTTTTGAAAATGACTACTTAGTAGTCAAAACTAGTCAACAGAAGTTCTACTGAGACTGAGGAGTTGTGGACGTCAAGGTACGAAATCTGTTATAATTGATTACCAATTCCTGAAGGCTTCAAGATGAATAAGCAAGCACTGTTTCAATTCAGCTACCCAACTATTTTCTTTTTATAGTACGTCTAATGTTACAGGCATTGAAGAATGTTTCAATCCACATTGATGTTTGGTGCTCGCTCAACCGGAGGTTCCAGCAAAGGATGTTCGACCCCCGAGTGGACTTGCTGACTGTTGATTGGTCACCCTTTCAGCCAGTATCTTGGCTGATGCCTTTACTAACAGAATTAAGCTCATGGAGGACAAAGATTGCCGAGATAGAAGAACAAGTCTACTCTTGGTCTAACTACAGTGACGTTCTGTTTGTAGCTGATTTTCCAGGTGAGATTGTTTGTTAGTGGCTATTGTTATGTATTTTTTCAAGCTGTACCAACTGCTGGATGTATTTTATGCTCTGTAGCTGGTGTTATTTGAAATTGTTGTGTGTTAACCCATTGTTTCAAGCAGTCTGTAAAAAAAATAGGCCCAATCGAGCCGAGTTTTTATCATTGCAACCGTTTCCAAAGAATTCCGGATAAAAAAATTCATGCTTTGCACAATTGTTGAGGATAAATTAGATTTTCCGTTACCGCAGGAGACGAAGATGAAGTCTGCAAGACCCTGTGTGGAAGCTGTTAAAGATTTTTCTGAGATCACGGAACCAGATTAACCGATCACAAGGTAAATGATGATCATGTCTATATAGCCGCAGAAGATATTCAAGATTTGGCCATGAACACGGAAAACCATGGCGATGTGTCTGTGACCCTGGGAGACAATGATGATATTTCCATGACCGAGGAAGACAATGATGATGTCTACATGACCGAGGAAGACAATGATGATGTCTACAAGACCGAGGAAGATGTATGAGATTTTGCGGGGATCCCAAAAAATGATGAAGATGTTTCCATGAACAAGGGAGACAATGACTATGGCTACAAGACTGCGATAGAGGTTTTGGAATTTACTGTGATCACGCTTTCTACCTTCTTTAAATCAAAAACAGTCATGTGACGGATGAGCACATTAAAATACACTGACGTTGTACATTTGCGTCAGTGTACCAATGTTATTTCAAAAAGATTATATCTTCATAACGCTGTCTATCCATTTGAAGGTCTATCTGATTTAATTCTCTGCAGTGGTCTACAGATGTGTCTGTTGCATATGTGCGTCACTTGGTCTGTGGATATGATGATTAGTAACATCATATGATAGTTGGAAAAACTGTTTTTTACTTGCTGCATCACTGGCCCGTAGTCTGCATGTACTGTTGACCATGTAACACCCGGTCTTGTGTAATATTAAAATGTATACCTCTGTCCGTGCCAATGACGACAGCATTGCACATATGTGGGGATTTGTAGGGAACGTGTTAGTAACGATTCTTATATTCTTATATTATTGATTGCCATTGGCTGTATATGAGCTATTAATTAACAGTTGTGTCCAAGAAACATGTCGGTCTTAGTCACTAACAAGACTATGAGATCGCCTGACTAATTCTTAACTCATATTTGGGTTTAAATTTAAAATAAGCACATAGTGGTGTCCACATCTTAAATAATTGATTATAACTGTGTTTTTTATTTTACTTTTTAAAATTCATTTATAAATAAATAAATAAATAAAATGCCTTTATTTAGCAAGCGTTCCTCAGTACATACTGCTTTACAGGATAACTCTTGTCAATTTAATTACTAATACTAAATAAAACTAATAACAAAAAGTACATAATCTATTTACAAAATTTGAGGTCCTTTCTATACATTTCTTTTAGCTTATTTCTAAAAGCTGGAACACCCAGCAATTTAAGATCACAGGGGAGGTCATTATACAACTTTGGCCCAAAGTATGAAAAGCCTCTCCTGCCAATCTCCAGCCTCACTCTCGGGAAGTGAAACAGCTTTTCCTGTCGAGTATTGCACCGAGACACCCGATCGCGGGAGACCAGTCTTTCCATCAGGTAAGCTGGTTCTTTTTTGACCAGTACCCGATGAACCAGAGTGCAGGTTTGCATCCTGCATACGGCTGCTGAGGGCAAAAGACCGGCAGTTTTTTCAAATTTACTTGGAGTTCAGATGAATAGAGTTTTTAATGCACTAAGTACTTCTTCAGTTTAAGTGACTAATGGCTAAATGTACATTGATGAGACATTAAGAATATAACCAACCAAAGTGTATTTTGGATTTTGCAGTGAGTATGGATGAAGAACTTTATTTGTTTTTAAGAATCATCATCAATATAAAATTGCTAAATAAAAATTCATATTTTCAGGCTTATACTTGGAGAACTACATTCACGGAGGTCTATCGAACGTTAGTCTCAGTGTTTTAGAGGGAAAAGTTCTCGTGGAACTTGAAGACGGGGCTAACCTAATTGTCCATAGTGGGGAAAGTAGTTTTATTCCTGTCCAGAACTTCCACAAAGTTCATACAATCTCAGAAACTCCATCATGCTACATGTACACCTACGCCAATGAAACCTTGCTAGAGTTAGGGTCAGACAGGGAAAAGAAAGCTGAAAGTAAGAAAACTGTCGCGTTTCTCCATGAAACCAAACGACGATGGAAAAACTTCATGCAGGCTGCTAATCTTGTTGGTAACGCTCTTCTGAACGTTTTATATTCTGTTCCGATGAAGAAAAGGGTTAGAGTTAACTAAGAATAATGCTTCTTACCATTTCATGACTCAAACTGACTTTCATCAATAGGTAATAAATATATGATTTAACCAGTGTCCTTCAATTATTGAAAAATGAGCTGTAAACTATTTCTGTGAGCATCACATTATATTTACAAAAACTGATAACATACCGCAATTAAAGGTGTTTTAAATATAACTGCACCCTAATGCACAATGTCTTATTGTTAAAACTTTTGCCTTTACAAAAATGTCTATACCATGTTATTGTTAAATCTTTTGACTATTTTCGTTGTAGCTGATTGGAAAAATCTGTTGAATACTGTACCTGATAGTCCCATGCCAGTTTTGATACCCTAAAAGTTCGGTGCTCAATGTATTTGTAAGACAAATATGTTGATTGTAGGATGTTCATTAAAATATTTTTGTTGTGAAGTGTAGTTATAGGTGTTGTATTTTTACAAAAATGTTTATTACAAAGACATTTATGTATATGTTATTATGAACTAGTCAATTATGCTAAAAAATAAAATCTATTACCAAGTATATATTGATCATAATCAAGTCTGCATGTTGATATTTGGTGATAATCATTGTATACGTATTGTAAAGATGTTATGCCTATATATTCAAGGTTCACTTTTAACTAACATTTAAGCCTTATTTTATTGTAAAGTTATGACACATAAATGTTTTTGTACCAGTACTGTTCATGAGTTTTTAACCAACCTCTTGAGTTTTTAACTTTGTACCTAAATTTAAAAAAAAAAAAATACTTGTAACATTTTTAACTCTCATGCCTTATTATTTGGTATAATTTAGAACTAATTATTATAAATTGTCCACTAGTAGGAACAGAATATTTTTTTATGTCGAGCTGAATCCTGGCTGAAAATGTTGTCTCAGTCAAATATACTATTTTTGGGGAGTATTCAAGTGTAAATATTTGTTTGGCTTTCCTAACAGGATGGGTTCTTTCTTCTTTCACATTCAGGTAATCTTGCTTCCAACCATAATTAAACACAAACAAATTGTCTATTAAATATAGTTTAGAGCCTATAAAACTAACTTTGTGAATTTAGCGCAATGTACAAAACTTTTACTTTGCAGTCAACTACATCAACTATTCGGGTGAATTGTGTTTTCTAGAAGTTTGAAGCTTATAATGATGGATTTAGATGGTTGAGTGGCTACAGCTCTTGGGAGTCAAATTTGACAGTTTATTTTTTTTTTTTTTTCATAAGACGATTGCTTAAAAATCCAAATGTATAAGCTTTGATGATTGTATAACTGCAATTGATATCCTTGCACTTAGGACAGCAAATATTCAACCAATAAAATAATATGATGGATGAACCATGAAGCAACAAACATTTAAATACATAAATAATGTACCATACGTACATTTACACTGTATATAGAGGAGGGATGCATACTACTTACTTTCTTACATGAGGCCATATACAGGGTGACACACGGGAGACAGACGGTTTTTATCCGCGTAGTACTGAGAGTGTGGTGGTGGAAGGTGGTCATGGGGGGCATAGTTCTGCTCTACACAAGATGCCATTTTATTAACTCAGTCACTATGGAACAGTGGGACTTGCAACATCGATTGTTTGTTTATGACAGTTTCATGAGAAGTGGTGGAGTCTGTTGAAGCTACATAACTATTGTTTTGTGCATGATTAAATGTCAGTCAACATTTAGCTGTTCCGAGCCGTAACACAATCCTCAGATGGGTGAAAAACTCCAGATTGACTGAAAAAAATACTGGATAAGAAGCATCCTAGCCCAAAATGCAGCGTACTGATGCCAGAAAATTTTGAAAGAGTAAGGGAAGCGGTGGTCAGTAGCCCAAAACGGTCAGTTAGATGTCATGCTAGTGAGCTACAAATTAAACGTGAGTCGGTTAGACAAACTTTGAATCCAGTATGCTTCTAATACAGTATTTTCCAGTCAATCTGAAGTTTTTCTCCCATCTGAGGATTGTGTTACGGCTCAGAACAGCTCAATGTCGACCGATATTAAACTGTGCACGAAATAATCGTTGTGTAGCTGTAATAGACTCACCACTTCTCATGAAACTGCCATAGACAAAAATCAACGTTGCAAGTCCCCCTGTTACATAGTAACTGAGTTAATGAAATGGCGTCTTGTGTAACTATGACTACCTCCTACCACCGCACTCTCAGCACTACGCAGATGAAAACTGTCCGTCTTCCGTGTGTCACCCTGTATTTTTAGAACATGAGTAATGATAAATTGAGATATATGTATATTATGAAATATGAATATCAATGGGTTTGAAAATCGAAACAGAAATAGGTAACTGGTGAGTGATTAAGAAATTAAAAGCAATGAGCATGTGTAAGTAAACTTTCAGCTACCATATAATATTGACGAGATATCTTTTTATCACAGTTATTTTTTCCTCGATATGTTTTACAACAATTCTTTTCTTTAGTAAAAAATATAAAAATCAACAAACAGTAGGATAAATATTCAGATAGAGCTGGTTTCATCCAATAAGCAATGGACGTGGTCCTCTGTTATAATTCTGCAACACCACCACTTCTGGTCCCGGTCCTGCAACATAAAAATCATATTTGAATTTCACTATGAAGCGTATGTTTAAAATTAAAAATAAATTGGAAAAAGTGTCTAGAGCTACTGACTATATCTACAATAGGCCTACTAACTTGCTAAATTGTTACAAACAAAAACCCTTCTCAAAAGGAACAAAGGTAGTATGTTGTAGCTCAATAATCAAGTGAAAATAATTTATCCACTACATCTCTTTGCTATCTTACAAATTTCGCTCTGTGATGTCCTAAAAACTGTTAAAATTACCTTCTTGTTTATCTTCAAAGCAACATATTGTATCTTTGACTCTTACCCGTATCTTTGAGAACTAAATTTTCCCTAACCAGAAGGCTCTGGATATAATTTGTATATCCTGAAAATTATGTGACAACTCTCAACTCTGAATAAAAAAAAAACTTGAACCCTCCAAGGAACAATAATTTAAGTTTATTGTTTGCATTACTATAACGGATCACAGTCCACGGACACATTATGAAAATCACGAGCACAGGGGCACAATGAACATTTTCCACCATCGTGGAAGCATTATGAATATCTTCCGGTATTATGGAGATAAAACGCTTAGTAACATACTAGTAACATTCTGTGTATTAGTATGAACTATCACTGGAGTTCAAACCCACAACAATGCTGAAATTGTTCTAACTATTATTTTATGACCAACCTTAGATTCCAAAGACATAGGATATAGTTAGGAACCATTTACGCATTGATTGAGACTAGGTCTAGAAGGTTGTAGCATCATCACAAATATAAGGCGATAATGATTGGCAGCATTTGACTCCGGGACCTCAGGGACCGAAGTCTTGTACTCTATCAGGAGAGCTTGCTCCCCTACTACTAAGTTACCAAGACTAAAAAAGGAAAGAACTGTTTTAGATTAGAATTGACGGTTTCTTACCTGAGACGATAACTACAGGTTCTCTTTGTCGCCATCTTCTTCTGTAAGGCGGAGGAGGTGGGGGGTAGTAAGGATATGGTGGAGGGGGAGGGGGAAAGTGAGTGGAGACTTCTTGCATTACAATCACAAGAATCAGCACCCAGGCAAATACATGGACCTGTGGAATAAAACAATATATAAGTTCAAACTTTTGACCTCAAAAGATTTTAATTTGCAAAATTTTTTCTAAAGGAGTTATGAAATTATTATTAATTGATTAAGACCTTACCTTAGCTTAGCAATCTCATTTTATCACCACCCAAATTAATTTTGTACCTGAAGGTCCATTATCAGTCGTGTATGTTGACAAAACGTTTAAAGTAGAATCCACCCCTTTGGGTTTCTTAGAACGCTATATAACATTTAACACGATACAATTTATTATAACTTGTATTGTGTTAAATGTTATAATATTTTCTACGAAACCCAACAAGTGGATTCCACTATAAAACTTTGGTCAACCTAGACTCCCACTGATGATGGACCTTCGGTTCCGAAAAAAAAAATTCGGATGGATAAAATAGGATTGCTAAGGTAAGGCCTTATATTATCAATTAATTATATATTAGCAATCCAGAGGCTAAAATGATTGATATGAAATAAATGCCAAGAAAGTGCCACAGATTTGTGTAAAGAGGTGTTTTCTATATACTTTTTATACAAATATATATTTTTATACCGTTTTCAAGCTCAATTATTAACTAACCATACATTGCACGGAATTTATATTTCAACAGAAATGGAAATATTAGTGATACATATACTAGTACATAGCACCAGTACATATTTATAAAAATTAATCGGATTTGAACAATGTTTTTTACTTTTGAGGACTTTTTAGAACTTATTTTACTTTTTCTGAGAACATAAATACTCTGTGTATAGGTTTTAACCACAATATTTACTGTAATAGCTACTATCCTATTGAATATTCACTGAAATTGGAAGTTTTATAGTTAATTTACAACGTTGAATGTTGAGTCCAATCTTTGGAAAAAAACATATTTTTCAAGTAGCTTACCTTAGCCATCTTAGTTGGGTACAAACAGGAAGCCAAACACGAATGATGTAGGAGGAACAGCACGGCTTGCTTATATTAGATCCTAAGTGCTAAGTGTCCGTGAATGACCAAATGAGAGGATGTCAACCAAGCTCATGGTCACTGAATCATTTTGTAAACAAAACTTACCTAGGAATTTACTGTCATTTTAATACCAATGACTCAATGGATTTTGTGGTACAACCTCTTACTTCTTTGATGGACTATCATATAAAAAGGGATCAGCTTTTGGGGTCCGTTTTGCAATTTTGACCCTGTTCTCTATGATGGACATGATTTTTTCTTTGAACTATTCAATAGGACCTTAGTCCTTTACTCATAGCGTTGATGAAGTTAACTTCTTGATTTTTTGTGTCAATTTATTTAAGATGTTCCCTTGGAAGGCACTTATTTATTAAAATAACACCTAGGGTAGTTTAGCAAGATGATATGAATAGGTACCTTTCTGTGTATGGACTATGATGGAAATAACTGTTCCATCATTGTCATAATAGAGTTTGATAATATTAGCTATAACAATATTAGGCTACTGTATAATAATAGTTATATACTGGGTGTTCAAAAAAGGTGGGGACATAATTTACGTAGTGATTCCTTAGATCAAAATAAAGAGAAAATAAAAAATAACATTTTTTTAAAAAACACTTTGTTAACCATATATCCGCCATTTAGTATTTTTTACATAGACATTTTTATCTTTGCATTTTTTCGACCAATCTTTATGAAGCTTGGTATGTATTTTAGGGTAGACCCATTCTAGGAAAAAATTCTCTTGATTCAACTGGCGGCCATTTTATTTTTTTTAACCTAAATTATACAAAAACGGCTGCTGATTTTATGAAAAAAATGTCAAGAACACTTTTATTTAGCATTTTAAATTCCCTATCAAATGGTACCAAGGCCAAATAATAAATAGCTGAAATATTACGATTTTTAGTTGTAGAATGGACTGCAAACCGGGCCATCTTAAACTCATTCCTACCCCATAAAATTAATTTGCCTAAATCTATGTAAGTAAAATACGAGTATAAACTATTCTACTGTAGGGAATTCGAAAAGAAAAGTTGATGGATGTTTACAATCAGGATTTAGAGATTGA